CCCCAAAACCCCAAAACCCCAAAACCCCAAAACCCCGATTTGAGAGAGGAATGTGGAAAAGGTTTATGGTGTAGGGATTGTTTTATGCTGCTGAGTGCTTATGGGGTTGTGCTTGTTATAGTGGGGTCGTTTGTTTAGGTCTCTTTGTGGTTGATTTTCATGTCGATGTAGTGTAGGTAGCTTTCGTCAGGGAGGCCGTAGCGGAACACCTCTTCGTAGGTTCTGAAGATGGCGTCTTGTAGGGCTTTCTGATCTTCGTTAAAAGACTTTATGAGGTCTTTGTAGATTCTCTTCTTGTTCTACACAAGTCAAAATAAGAGTACCTTGTCTTTAAGCTTTCTAAGAAGAGCCTTGATCTGAGGGTTTTTGAGTGAACCTATAGGAAAATTCAGTAAAATAGACAAAGAGTGGCTGACAAAAAAACTGAAAAATTATTCAGTGAAATAAGGACGTACATTCTCCAGCTTTGGCAACTGTTTCTTTTTCAACAGAATTCATGATCATACTGTAAAATGAAGAAGTACCTGCTCCACTTTGAGCCTCATTTTCATCATCCTCTTCATCATTTTCAGCAGATTGTTCTGAAGAAGATGCAGACTTCTCATCGAGATCATTGCTCTCTGATTTCTGCTCTGAGCTTTGAGTGCAGGATTCGTCATCATCCTCATGCTCCTCCTCCTGCTTCTTAGTCATCTTTCTCTTGTGGGATTCTTTCTTGTTTGGCTTTTGTGCTGTCTTTGTCTTTTTGGATTCTTCTCCTTTCTTAGACTTCTGTGATTTTTGAGATTTCTTAGACTCTTTAGACTTTTGAGACTTCTTAGACTCCTTAGACTTTGCTGATTGCTCTTCAACCTCTTGCACATCTTGCTCTTGAGTCTTGAACTTCTTGAGACTTTGAGAAGCATTCGAAGGCAGCTTCTCTTTTATGCTTTTGGAAGTTGATTGGGAATTTGATCTTTTTGTTGCACCGTTGGAGGACTTGGAACCTTCCTTGTTCATGACTTTGGAAGCTCTTTTATCTTTGCTTTTTGGTGCTACAGGGTTATGAAAGAGTGAAGATAATAAAGATAGAGTCTGAACAATATTTAGTGTAGATCTCAAAATGAATAGATATTAATGATACGCTGAATCTAGGAAGGAAGAGAGATAAATATAGCAACCTACTTGTATCTGAACTCTGTTCCTTATCTTTCGGCTTGTTATCTACAGTTTTCTTTGTCTTTTGTGATACCATAAGTAATTTTTATAAAAACTCAGTAAAAATTGATCTAAAAGGGGTTTTGGGGTTTTGGGGTTTTGGGGTTTTGGGG